CCTCAAAATGTTATTTGAGTCCAGGTAATCTACCATTTTCTCTTTGATTATAGCCTCCATAACTTTACCAGTTAGCCTGCCTCTGAAACACAATACAGCCACCATTGTGAAAACAATTGTGAACTCAGAAAACAACGATAAATAAGATAAATAATAATTTGTATAATATACTAGGACAGCACAGTATTGGAAATTTCATAAGTATTACAATGTGAATTTGTTGTAATGAATATTGAGTTTTTTTTGTTTTTTTTTTTTTTAAAAAAGGAGTTCAACAAATTTCTCAAACATTCATCTATTAGTGATTTAAACAACAAGGATGAAAATGACTTATTGTCTCGGAGAACGCACACAGCGCTCATGCAAAAGCAGCGAAGTCAAACTTCAAACTGACTTTTAAACATATACTAGATAATCTTGAAAAGTAATAATAATTAAATTGCAAAACTTGATAATATTTTTTCTTATGACAGAGTAAAAATGTTTTAGTAAAACTTAAACTCCCTGCACTGTAACGTCTGTATATACAACTGAAAGCAAGAAAAAGCCTGCTCTTAATCTACCTGACTGGCTAAGTAAGAATTGCACATGCACAACATGCGATATTGGTATTAATATCACACATCAGCCAGCCCTATAATATACAGGCATTTTTCGAATTCAGTGCAAAATACCCTGCTTCGCGCTGTGATGTCATTCAGTGCTGGTACCGGTGTTTATGCCAGTAGAAAACAAACACTGAAGTACAGTACTTTTGGTACTTTCTTGAAGTACCAAAAGCATGCAAAAGCCTGCAGGAAAGTCACTGTGTCCTGATACACACACGTCCTATGAGAGGTCCATGTCAGAGGGCTACATAATGACTAGGGATGGGCCGATCCACATTTTTTCAATTCCGATCCGATTCCAATACACAACTACTGATACCGATACCGATACAAGAGCTCTTTTTACTTTCTTATAGTTTATACATTATTTTTTAAGCCAGGAAATACAGATGGAAAAAAAGATTTAATTAGGCTACTACAAACATACATAACGTACTGTTCCACCTCGCTTGTACAGGTACGTCTTGTTTTTAGCATTTTTGAGGCATTTGCAATATGAATATCTTCAAAGCAAGTATACACAAGTGGCGAATGCTTAAAATTTTAACCAATTTTTCTCTCATTGGCATCAGCTCAGTTACACTTTGTTGCGATGGCAGCCCCTCTTGTAACACAAGCTGCAGCGAGTTCGCAAAACAGTCCAAGTTATTGACTCCCAAATCATCCATTGCTTTTTTTTTGTCTCGCACAGTTGCGTGCGCTTTGTTAAGTGGGACTATCCATTAAACGCTATTCCCACCTCTCAAAATTTTATTTTACAAAGATTGCAAATTGCTGGTTTCTGTTAAAAGCATAAAATACTCCCAGATCGTCATCTTATCTTACGCTCCTCATACTGCGAAGGGTATGCGGATGACGTCACAGCAGGCGGAAGGCACTGTACTCACACCCACTGAGTAGCAAAAAAGACTGAGGGGCAGCGTTAGCGTTCGATTTGAATGCCGCAAAAAAAAACATGTAAAATGGGAAAGAGCTGTCACGCGATTGATTGTACAAATAGATTTAACACGAAAAAGGAGCTATATTTTTTGAGATTGCCAAAAACTAAATAAGTAAGTATAGGACGTGGATCGGTCACGCATGGCCGATACCCGATCTGTCAAATAGGTCCGAATATCGGATCGGTGCATCTCTAATTCTGACCCACGGATATTTGCACCCTTCTACACAGACACACTCAGACAACCTAGCTGCCCCCTTGTCAAACCAGGCAGCAGCCAGCTGGAATAAATGTCACAGTGGCAGGGATGTGCCCTCACTCACCATATGCTAAAGCACCACAGAAAAAACACACTGACCCAACAGACTGTTCTGGCTGGTGACGGGCTTCTCCAAAACTGATATTAATATATTTCACAAAGCTCCCCAAATTATATGACAGCTTTACCTCATTTTCAGAGAAGCTAATTTCAAACTGAGAAGCCCTGCTAGAAGCTACAGTTTATTTGGAAGATGTTTCACAAAAACATGCAATGAAATGATATGACTTATGACCATAAAACACAGAATTTTGCATTTACTGCATAAAATGCAAATGAATGACAGTAGAAAAAAGCATGAATAGATAGATAGATAAATAGATAGATAGATAGATAGATAGATAGATAGATAGATAGATAGATAGATAGATAGATAGATAGATAGATAGCTATCTGAAGTTCAGAGTCAGAAGCCAGTTGGCACACACTGTACAGTCTTAGGACACACCTCAGCAAAAGTCTCCTCAAGGCCACAAAGAAAGACTGTACAAATGAGTCGAAGTAGGACAAAAGCTTAACAACAATAGCATTCCTATAAAGGGGAGGGTTTTTACTAACAAAAGCCTCCAAAAAGGAGTGGGGGTAACATCACATAAGCCCACGCTTAAGATGCTTGACAAAGATTATGACTGGTGGTTACTAATTCACCATCGTATTAAACCCCCGAACATAATCAAATTCCTCCCAGTGGGAAAACAAAGATAGCCCTGTGACGAACCAATGAAACTCGGGATGAGTAACGGCAGCACCCCCCACCATCACAACCAGCAGATTCTTCCTGTAAGCCCACATCATTGACACACTGGGATAAAAGCCTGATCCCGAAAGGCAACTTCCTTTAGATATAGCCTGAGGCATCATGGCAAGATTCCAAATGGTTTTGATGTGGACAACTGTTCAGGAACATACTAAAACAAATTGGATATTTAAAACGCCTCCAAATGACATGTACCATCTGTGAACTGAAAGTTTTTTTAAATACAAAGATGTTGGGGAAAAACAACAAACACTAACTACATCAACAGGCTAATAATACTAATGGCCAGATTTGACTCACAGAGGCATTTAAATCTATTAAGAATTAGAATCTCAGAATATTAGGTTCCCCATGATACTGATCCGAAAGTCAACACCAAGCCCCAGGAAGCTCAGAGTGTCCCATAACCTCACAGACAGCTCAGTCATCACTTACTCACTCAACTGACATATTACACTGCTTGGGTATAGGAATTACAATTCAGTTTTGGTCTGTAAATCTCCAATCAGCAGTTTTATGGTGAATTATCCTAGACTGGTGTTTCTGGACCTTTTGGTCCACATGCCACCACCTCCAGATCTCCATGCCAACACATAAATGCCACCACCTTCACATCTTCTGGGGCTGCAAAGCTCACTGCAGAAGGTGGCTTTCATCTGGTTGTCTGATTGGGCACGACTAATCAAAGCCTTGCTTTACGTAACAGTGCAAGTTGTGGTTTGGGGGAAAGGTCCATTTTTATACTTCCATGGCATGAAATTCTATATCTATTATTCTCCAGAAATCCAAGATACCCAAAGACAAAAGCTTAACATTTCATTAAATTTCAGTACCAGTCCCTTGCATCTACTACTCAGGGGGGAAATGCAGGTAACTCTCCCAACAGGTTTAACACAGCTTATTGAAAGTATTTAACGGTTGAAGGGCTTCCTCCTGTAGGATAACAGGAATAAAAAGCAGTAGGAGTCGCGGCTGCTCACCGGCGGATGAGGAGTCCTCATGGTCGGAGCTCAGGTAGCCGTCGCTCCGTCTCTCAGGGGTACTGCGGCCGGAGCCCCTGGACAAGCCGCACGCCACCGGAATACTGGCCGGTGACAGCCTACCGTCGTCGCTGGAGTCGAAATCCTTGCTAAGACGGATGGTCCGGACTATGTCCCGGTGGTACTCGGCCCTGGGGGTCACCAGGTTTCCCCGCACGAAGTTCTCGTTGAGCTCCACGTCCTCGTACTCGTGGTCGCTGGTGTCCTGCTCCGACTCGGCTTTGTCGGGCTGCGTGCGGCCGGGCGCCGCCACTTTCTGTATGTAGAGATACGGGTGCTTCCGCGGAAGCGTGGGGAGACGTCTCCCTGTCCGGGGACTCCTAGCGGACCCCACGACATGCCCGGAATCTGTGCCGTCGTTGCCGTGCCTCCTCCGGGCGGGCTCCTCGGGGTGTCCCCCCAAAACCACTCCTTTTTCCGTCCCCTCCGCTTTCACATCCATCTGTCTCTTCAACTTTTCGCCGCCGTCCCGCTGCTCCTCGCCTCTGTGCCGGGCCACCGTGGTCTGGAGGTATATCACCTTGAACTTTTCCATGGACTGCTCACGCTGGAGCACCTTCAGCCTCGCTTTGCATCTCTCCAGCTCCTCCTCGACGTCCTCTACAGAGTTAAGGTCCATCTTCGGCACGTCGCTGTCGGGGAACTCATTCCGCCAGTGTTTCTCGAACTCGTTCTGATCCCACATGGCTAATGTGTGCGTCGTCGGTGGCCCGCTGACCAGGAGCGGTCGCGTGCGTGTATGTGTCTCTATCCCAGTTGCCCTTCGCTGTAGCCGTGAAAACTCTGCCGCCGTTACTTCACGTCCTTTCTCGCGCCCCTCTTCACGCTTCTCCTCTACTATCACTTTGCGCGTGAAGAAAAAAAAACTTTTGGCTTCCGGTTTTCAGAATCCCGATGACGTCGGTCTGCTAAACCTCCCGGTTCTCCTCCTTTGATAGTTCAGACCGGCGCTGCGCCTGAGCTTCACGGCGGAGAGACTTTCACCTCCCGGTCAAACTACCGGAGTCAGCGCCGATCTCCGAAAGCTATGCAGCACCTGTTGTTTGTCAGCGTTTCCTGGTTCTTTTGTTATGCCACGGTGATTAATTTATAATGTATTTGAGTTTCAAGTTGTATTGTCGCGTGTTTTGGAAGAAGCCGTATGTTTTTATGCCACAGTTCTGATACAGGGGAGGGTATCCCTGCGTGGGGTGATAGGGCAAAAATTATTGGACAAAAGGACAATAAATGAGCAATGAAAAGGTGATGCAAAAGGGATAAAGGTGTGCAAATAATCACATAGACTATAAATAAATAAAACTACTATATTACCTATAATCTATGTGTGTAAGATAATAATAACATAGTCTACTGTGGTATGTGTAAAACCAGCCTAACCTCCAGATGAGACCAGAACGCTTTTAAGTAACAGATGACAGAGGAATGCAGTTGCAGAAGGGCAAAGTTGAACTGCTGAATGACTTACACTTTGCTTTTGTGTTAAATCCGAAACGAAGCTATTTAAGTCATATTAACTGGATGTCTAAGTAAGTACACATGCAGTTGTGGTATGTCAGCATTTCTTAAAAGATTTGTAAGAATAAATTGTCAAATGACTGTATAATGAAGTAGCATTGAGTGAAATTGAATTAATGACTTGCAGAATGGTAACCAGCAACATGCACAAGATGGTCTGTGTTGTGTTTTTGTGTTTTGGTGTGAGCTTTCAGGTGTGTCTAGCTCAGGAGATCCTTAATTGTGTTTATAGGTTAATTTTAACCCAACAAAAACATGCATATACACAGAAAGATCAGTCAGAATAATCATTTGAGTGAATTTGCCTGCCCAGCCTTTCCTTTTAATAGGTGAAACCCTCTCCTTCTTCAGAAGTATATTGTTTATTAAAGAGGACATGACTCTGAACCTTCCCGAGATTCAGACATCTGAACCTAGATTTTGGATTTTGGGACTCCTGATTAAAATCATTTTCCCCCCTTTAGGTTGCTAAAATGAAAAGGCACAGTGAAAATGATTAGGCCTACTTACAATCTCAGCTTAATACTGCATTGGTGGCATTATCAATTTCACGTAATCATCTTGCTGTGTGGGGGAAGCATGTAGTTCATTGGGCTAGGTTTCTGATCCTGTGATAAAAAGGTCACTGATTCAAGCCTTGGCAGAACAGTCTCATGTTCAGATTCATACCTTGCTGTTATATACATCTGTGTGTCATGGAGAGCAAGATAACACAGGCCTTACAGTGTGCTTTGCCATTTTAGCCACCTAAATGGGAAAGTGATGAGGGTTTTAATCTAGAGTCCCAAAAATCAAAATCTTGGTTCAGGTGACTGCATATCAGGGAGTTTCAGAGGTACGTGCTCTTTAAACAAACACAGGATGAACAAAACACCTCTGAAGAAGAGGGTTTTACCTATTAAATAGAAAGGTTGAGCAGACAAATTTGCATGAATGATGATTCTGTTCGTGATTATTCTGAGTATGTGCACATTTTTGATGGGCTAATATTAACCTAAAAACACAATTCAGGAGCTCTTGAGCTAGACATATATTTAATATACATCTCCACTGTGAAATCATTTCAATTGATTGCGAAAAGTATATAATGAGAAAATACATAAACTTAATGGCACCCTTTCAAATTTAACACTTAGTTCAATTTACATAATAGGTGTAAAGACAACAGGATCACTTTAAGCAGGCGTGTCAATGGATTCTTAGGGTTTTAGGTACGTTATTACTCAACTAGTTTGAGGAAATTGTGATTCATTTCCTTATGTGTGATGGGGCAGCTTTAGATGAGCCGTTGATATCTTCCCGTACTTTGCTGGATCTTAGCCCAGCACTGAAAGATCGTTTTCTGCAAAGCTTTTAGGCTGAGAAATTGATCATCAGCATCTATTTGAAGTATGTCTAATTTGATTTTACACGCCTAGATCAACAAACAGGTTTTTTAGTGCATTAAATTAGATCTCAGTTGGAGGAAACTTGAAATAAAATCTATTCCATTGGATCACATGCGTATCGCATTGTCATTTCAGAATAAATTAATACTAAAACATTTTACGTTTAATTCTCAGGTCTGATGGAGGAAGAAGACATTTTGGTGCGTTACATGTGTCAAATACATAACTATGGATTGACATCCTACTCCGATCAGATCTAAAAATACCTGTATATGATTCAAAACTTAGTATAAAGCATTATCAAAAACAAACCTGAGCACATGTCGATATTTTCAAGCGATTGCTATGAAACCTTTTAGGTTAAATGATGGAAAAATTGCACTTGTAGCCTACGTATCTGTTTTAAGAATATCAGAAACTGAATTCAGTCATAAACAAGATAAAATGTTTGCAATTACAAAGTCATCTTTATATTGTAGTGAGCCTGCAGCACATCCCTGAAATCACAGAGAGCAAGGCAGGGTCACCCTGAGGCCCAGCTCCAGCTCACTGTAGCAAGGTGGGCCAGGGGGATTTCGTCCTTCGTCAGCTGCACAAACAAAGGGCATCTGAGGCTCTATATAAAGCTAAAGTGTTTAAAGCATTTCATGGGGTCCCAAAGTCCTTGTGTTTTCTGACATCTTTGTTAAGGTAACACTGCCTAAACAAATATATATATATTCAAAGTAGTACACGATATGTCTAGTGAAACTGGGTATTTCAAACAGAAATATTTCATTATTAGCACAAGTGTCCTGTGTTCTCTCTCTCTCTCTTTCCATCCAATGTTTATGAAACAATTTACCAGCCAAAGCAACCCAAACACACATACACAATGTTATTATGCAACTATTTTGAAAAATAAAAAATACTGTAACTTGCAATTTTACATCTGAGTGAATGGTGAATGGCCCTGTGATAGGTTGGTGCCTCATCCTGAGTTGTTCCATGCCTTACACCCATAGCTTCTGGGATAGGCACTGGATCCCCTGCCATTTTAAACTATGAATTTACACACTCATTGATGTGAACGGTGCAGTATTTCTGATTCTGATCAGTGCTGGCATGTTCAACAGGATCTGTGGCCTGTACTACGAAGCGAGGTTATTGGCTTATCGGGGTAACTTGTTAGATTTAAGGTATCACAGGTTAAATCAGGGGTGGCCAATCTTATCCGCAAAGGGCCGGTGTGTATGCAGGGTTTCGCTGCAACTCCCTAATTAGATCACTAATTAGAGGACTGATTGGCTGAAGAGTCCTCACACCTGGGTTTCAACAGCTGACCTACAGGTTATCCCAAAAAACCTGCATACACACCAGCCCTTTGCGGATAAGATTGCCCACCCCTGGTTAAAATTGACTTCATATTCGCTCCCTTACATTTTGCCCAGACTACCTTAAACCCGACAAGTTACCCCGATAAGCCAGTAACCCCGCTTCGTAGTACCGGCCACTATGTGATGTGCACGTATATCACACTTACAGAATTGGCATACTGCCTTTGAATCGTCCTCCACTTGAGGTCAAATCCAGTCTTTTAATAAAGTCTTTCTCCCACATTGATGTATTTTTCCTCGTATTTCGCCCAGTTAGTACCCGTATTGTTAGCGAACTAGCTCAAGAAAGTCTATGAAGTCTATGATTTTGATTTGGGGAAGGAGAGGGGCGGAGAGAATGGGATCCTGAAACAGGACGACAGTTTTGATTTTTAAACAGGAAAGAGACCAGAGATACTGTATGAAGCAAGCCCAAATAAGTAACCACACTTTAGAAACAGTCAAAAAAAACTGCAATCCACGGTTACCAATGTTTACAGAAATCAAGACCAAAGTCACTTAGAATAATGCATCTATGGGCCAAATAAACAGGGTTTATGACGTAACACTCTCAAGCTCACGCAAGAAATCTTACGGTATATGTATATTATTCCATTATAAACCTAAAACTGGCTACCTCAATAGTGCTGGGATAGTTTGCAAGCCCTACAGAATACAAGGTAATAAAACTGTTACATACATGTAAATACGTGTGCAGACCTGTCTCGAATTGAAAATCTCACGCCAACCAGCTGACCAAAGTTGTCAACCCCGCATAAAAACGTACAATTTCACAGGTCTCTGCACTGACTGCGTGCTCGCTGCTGTTCTAATGAACGGTGACTGGTAGATAGGTACGGAGTCCGAGAACAGTTTAATATCAGTTTATGCATATAAGAACTAAAAAATAATGATATATAAACAGAAATATGTATCCTTGCGATAACACAAATCTTGTTTCTCTTGCGCGTGGGTGGGTGGGGAGGCCAGGCCCATTCCAGTGCCCCCAGCCACTCCTCGGCGCGTGCTTGATTGATATTAAACCTTATGTATTTGCATATAAAAACGCTATACATATGTTGGAACGTTTCGCGAGTAAGAAAAGTGACTTACAATTAGACATTTATGATCCTTGCCTGCCATCAAGTGGCTACCTCTCAGAACAACATCGTATGTTCTGATACAGTAAAAACCACATTATAGCAGACTCGCATATGACGGAATTTCGCTTTTAACGAACAAACAATTTGGTCCCCAGGGCCGCTTTTAGCTGTAGTTTTATTCGGCTATAACGGACATGCAGGTTCCGCCTACAAGGCGCGTGGCGTGCCGGTGGCATCCAGCGCAAATACGTAGTCGGGAATATTAATAGTCACGCATCTGGTCGTGTTGGCCTAAATTTGGATTACTATAGGTACAATATAATTATATCACAACTGTGTCTGCTGAGGTGTGGCATGAGTAATTGGTGTCCTGTAGTTGTGTTCTGGGCATACAGCCACTCTGGATTAGCAATATCTTAAAATCATTTTTATTATAATTAGTCACATTGTTTAACAAACACACATGAAAATATGAAATACATCATTTGTGATATTAGTTCTTAATGTTCATTAATTCGAGCAACATATGTCACAGCCAATAACAACCAACCAACACTTCTTAATGTCAAACGCAAAATGTGCACATTATGTTGTGCAGAACAAAATTTACTTAATTTTTTTCCCTAAAATGATATTAAAACAGATCACAGTGGCACATCGTTTAACGTAATTCAAGTCACAGAAAGAAGAATGGAAGAATGTGAAGCAAATCCGTACAAACAATGCAGATTAATCTACTCATAACTTGAAATATATTACACCGATACTCTGAGGATACTGATTCTGATAAAAGTGCTTTGTAAGACATGTGTTTTACCTGGAGAATAAAAATAAAATATTTTTGAATAAAACGTGGCAGAATAAAATAAAATCCAACCTGGATTAAACATGAGAAAAAGCAAGTTAGACACAAAACCTTAACAAAATAAATACATAAATGTAAATGCCATAATTGGTGTCAAGCCTAATGTAGCTCTATTCATTTAAACATTAAAGGGGAAAGAAAACGTGCCAAATGGGAAATCAAGGTCAAATTATGTGAAATACACAAAGCTGTAGGGGCATAAATGCAGTCTAATTATAATACTAAAGCGACAGATATCCTGAGAAGTGTCCAATACTGTACAGAGTCTACAGCTGCACTACTTAAGTACCATATCTATGCAAAAACATGTGGAGATGTGGTCATTCTGTTAGCATTACTTTACAAGAGCAGTATAAGCCTTTAAGAAAATATTATGCTTCAGTACCTAAAAATCATAATGTAGTATATATAATATATCTCAAAGTTCCTCTCACAAAAGTGTCAAAAACATCTGTAAAAAATATCTATATTTCAAAATGAATACAGTATATTAAATGACTTGCATAGCTGTCATGACTTATCACTTAAAACAATTCAAAGAGATTTTGACCTTGGGCATTATTTCAGCGACATCATCAATGTTAAATGTATGGTATTTGTTTATTAAAGTACATGTGTTCAGCCAGTTAGATCCCATGTTGTTTATTAAGAGAGGTGAGCATGTCTTTCGTGGCAAATGGGGTCCATCTACATTTTGGAAACTTTGATCTGCCTGGCAATTAATGTTCCCCTTTTGGTTATGACAAAGGCCTGCTGTTTTTCATAGTAAGCTGCCTCATTTATAAATGTGGGGTACACCGTGTTACCACCTTTATACTCTACAGTTCTCCCATCAAACGTCAGGAACATAGGGTCACCGGGGTTCAGGGGCTCCCAGTCGCAGTCCTGGGAAAGAGCGCAAACAGAACAGCTCTTTTGTGGATCCACAATGCATCGGATATGCATTCTGTAGTGTACACTAGAGAATGCTCATGTTCATATCAAGTAAACAGGAAATGCTTTTGCCGGGGTGGTGGTGTGTGGGGGGGAGGGTAAATAGGTCATTCAAAGGTTGCTATTAGGCATGTGTCCAAACAGGCAATGTCAAACTAGCTAATAGTCAACAAGAGCTGGCTTGATGTACCTGCAAATTGGGATGCACCATGGCTGTAATGTTTCCGTTTGTGTCTCGGGGGTAATCCACTCTTTCTGTAACTTGATACACATCCACTGTGCAAGGGGGAAACTCCATACCTTCAGTAGAAAGAAAAAGGCGTCTCCTTTAAACATTTATTTTTCTTAATAAAATACATCCCGGGGGTCAGCCATTGTTTACTTGCAAGACTTTGATTGATGTATGGCTTATCTGACCACCCTTAAAAGTCTCCCTCGGAAAACACAGTGCTGGGCTAAGGGAAGTCCATAACAACACAGCCCCCGCACCCGAGATTACAAACTCCGGGAGCCCCATCAACATGGAAACTGACCAATTTTCAACAAACATTCCATTCACTAACGGGGGGGCTGCAGAGATTTAACAGCCGCCGAGTCGACCTTGGCACCTAGTGCCTAATGTTTATGCGGAGGGGGAAAAGGCAGCCAGGAGAATGCGAAAACGGCAGCACATGCAAGGCAGATCTCACTGGAATTCAAATTTCAAATGCGAAGGAGATTTAAAACTGCTGAGGTGGACAGGACCATCTTCATCATCGGAGCAGTCGAATTGTAACATTATTATTTCTGTTTAACACAAACATGCAATCAGTGTCTGTGTATCTGACTTTAAAGTACTCAGCACATTCTGTGTTAATTGTATATTTTTATTGGGAGTATTTCTTTGTGTGTGGCTTATCTTTTGAAGGTTGTCATGGATTATATATTACATAAAAAGTGGCATGCTTATGCAGGATTAAGCTTTGGGGAAGCATTTACCTCCATTGAAAAGTTCGATGAAATCTAAAGCATGTCTCAGTATTAGCCTCATGGACTGAAAAATATTACTTCTTAGCACCCCTTGAGGCTGAGGGCCAACCTCGAGACCTGACAGAAACAGAGAATGACAATGCACCATTTATAACATGCTTTGATAACATTAGGGAAAAGAGCTCAATGAATGCTGTCAGTGACAGGGTGTGGTGTCAGAGCACACGGGGCAAAAACAACTACAAAATAGTAGTAGGTCATAAGGATATGCTGCTTTTAGGCTATAAGCAGAGCCATATGCAGGTTTTATATGTTTTCAAAATACTCGCACATACCTTTTTTACCACGATGTTCCAATGGAAACTGATATAAGGGCTGCAACTGAAACATCATTTTCCCTTCATACTACAGTCCCAGCATATGATAATTCAGAAAACAAATAAATTAATAATTGGTAAGGCTTTACATTGACTGCTCCTTCATAATGCATTCATTATGCATTTGTAGAACAATGAGTGCACCTTCGTATGTATTCATAGAACATTCATAAGCAGGATGCAAGTATACCTTATCCTAACATACCTTAACAGCTTTAATATACATTAATAACAAATATCATATGATAATAACACATATTATAATGGTATAATGGTATAATGTTCAATATTCATGCATATTAATGCTGTTACGGTATGTTAGGATGTTATGGTATACTTACATGCTGCTTATGAATGTTCTATGAAGGCATTATGAATGCAGTATGAAGGTGACTGTAGGTCCAACAAATGCATTAAGAAGGCATTTTGAAAGTGCAGTTAAAGCATTACCGAATAGTCATTACGGCGGTAACTAAAGACCAAAAGAATTACAGGAGTCTTAGAAGGTCTTTCAGTTCATAATCACAGTGATTTTAAGACAGCAAATCAGGTGTCTTCTATACAAGTTAAGTGACATATTAAGGCACTGGGTCAGAGTGCAGGTTCCAGATTCTGAACTTACCAATAGGGTGTTTGGCCACGGATCGTGAAGTAGAATACTGAAGAAATGGGTGTTCATTCACCAGAACAGAGCAAGTCATGGGAGCTACAGCCTGCTAGATAGTGAAATAAACATTCAAAGAGAGAGAAAAAACACATCCCGTTAACAGCCTACGGTAAACGATTACTTTATTTAGCTTATATTGGTGGGAGTTATACACTGATACAGGAAAATACAAAGCTGTGTCAAATTCTGAGATAATTATTATAACAGATTAATCAACAGGTGGAGCATCTGTATGTTTCATATACAGATTATACTGCACGTTCGAATTGAATCACTTGCTCATATTTCATTCATATTTCCTTTTCTAAAATCAGATACACTCTGCCATGTTTAGATAGTTGATTATTTAAAGTTGTTACCTTGATATAATGCACCATTTGAAGATTTAAATGGTCCTGAGAGCTCTCTAAAATGAGGGTACATCCCATGTTGGACGTGGTATTGTGAAGATCAAAAATAACATCGTAGGCATCTGAGCTACCCTTGGGGCCGAAGATCCGATTGATTTCCAGAGCTCTCTTGATTTCATAGGGATGGTCTTCTGCCTCTCGTTTGCTGTGGGAAGTCCATCAAGATTCACAAGGAAGAAGGGTTGTGAATGACCTTCGAAACATCGGACATTTTTGATAGTGTTGATAGATTGCTCAAAACTGTACAACATCCAATAAAAATTCAGCATGAAACATGCAGTTCAGCACATTGCTGTTCACCAGCATTAAATCAGTGTTTTACAACAATATCTCAGATCCATATGTTTAAAAGTGCTCTTCACAGGCTACATGAGAGCATTTGGGCTGCTTTAATTCACATTCATCTTTGCTGCTTTGTGGACATCAATTTATGTTTTTGTGCGCAAATTAGATACAGCTGGGGCTGTTTCATTCATTTCCTGCATTAAGAAACTGAAATGGAAGTGGAGCTGTGCATTGGTGGACAGAATTCATCTCTCAGAATACAGGAGCAATTATTCAGATGAATGTTCTGGGTTCAAATGCATATTCATGTCCAGATTGAAAGGACACATTTGCAGGGCCACAATACCCTGACACATTTCCATATTCTTTAAAGCATTAAACCAATTCTACTTCCCCATTATTCCACAATTACAGGAGGAACTAGCAAGCCATTCAGTTTCAGAGTATATGTTCAATAAATGTTGTATCCAGCCACAAAACAAGCATTACATTCACCAAAGGGTCCAAGTTTTTTTTTTAAATGCATGTGGTAATCCATCTACATATATTTGTACATAATACATGTCTTATTTGTCCTGTGTTTTTGTTTGCACGGCTCAGGGAGTTGCAAACAATCTCATTGTACAATTGTGTTAAATGACAATAAAGAATAGCATCTTGAATCCAGGGTAATTTATGTTATGTAACAATGGTACTTAATTGAAACCATGTATAAGAAAACTTATTTTGGTTTTGAAATATAAACATGGTCTTTGGATTGATGTATTAACACTAGAGAATGTTTTGGGATCTTCAGTTCTGGTGAAACTGTTCTAGAAAAGAATTAGGATTTAGCAAATTAGTTTTGCATGGCTGTCCACACAACAATTTATCAAGACAAAAACATTTTTTGTGCAAAAATATCAATGTAAAAGTTTAAAACATCTAGAAAACTTTCATCCCATCTTATATGTATTAAGCAGATTTAATTGCGCAATCTATTGCTCAATGACTCAGTAGCCGTCCTTAACAACTTCCTACACCATACTAGAAGAGGAGATTCCAGGGACTCTGGAATCCCTAGGCAAAAAAACTCCACATGGCCCTCCAACTCCCCCTCCCCTGGCATGGCAAAATTATTAACTTTATTTTACTGTGAAGTGTAAATGTATAATAACAACAAAGATAATTTAATAAACACAAGACCTTTGTTTTCACTTTTTGTGAAAAACAGAATACACAAATAAAGCAGAAGTGTCGTTGCAATGTAATATATAATAGGCCGCCCTCGGGGGCCCCCCCTCCCAGCTCGGGGCCCCAAGCCATTGCCTGTCCTGCCTGTCCTGCCTGTCCTGTCGCTGCGCCTCTGCGTGCCAGTTCGTGTCAAGAAATCTGCCACGTCATATTTTGTGTAAAAATGTTAAAGCGAAATGAGTGGATATGAGCAATTGTAATCCTTTATAATTCTACCACGACGTGATGGGGGATTCTGGATTCAGATTATGGATAAACAGCACTGAGATCAGTTTCGACCGCCGAAATGCCAAGCGCGAGGTCACTCGCAGCTCTTAGCAGAGCAGCAGTCCAGCGGCTCCCATTGGCTGAGGATCCTCGGATTGCACACGTGACCCAGAGACACTCAGAGACGCTTCAGTCCAAAAGGTCATTATCGCCTTACCTTTGTGCGCGTGTACTGCCACCTAAAGCGAAGCTTTTCAGATCAGGACAAAGTCTTAATAAAACTAGCCTTTATGGGTTGTGATAACGAAAAACAAAGTTCGTAACTCTGCTGTCACTTTCTTCTGTTGCCTGTCAATCAAATGTTCTTCGTCGCACTTCCTGAGGTGTGTTTATTTTAAAAATATTTAAGATCCAAATAAAATGTGTCAGGAAAAACTATATACCTATAAATTTAATCTAAACGACATTCTAAAATACAAATCAATTACTAGATATTTTTCAGTATATTTTTTTCTCATAAAATTTTTTTATAAGTATGACATTGAACCGCTCCATTAGATGAGACTACCTGAGGTTTTCTGGCGTGAAAGCCCGATTCAGATCGATGTCGATGTATCTGGTGCATTTCTCCACTGCCCGGGGGTTTGTTATGAAGGGCTGCACCTCCACTCCGCTCCTCCGGATCTCCGCTCGGTTCTTCAGCCAGAGATTGACGAGCGTGACGCCTGACATCTCATTGCCATGTGTGCCCCCGAATATCGCAACTTTCTTAGCTTCCGGCAGACTAACTTCACAGCTCATCGCGCCGATCGCCAAACGACAACAGCTGGGACGAAAAGCCTCAAGCCGGTGAAGTTGTGGGGGTCGCGGACGCCGCTCCTGTTGGGAGTGAATTTACACTGCAGTAAGGCGTAAATAGCGAATCCCGTGCTTTAAACACACGGTGCCCTGCATTATACTTTCGTGGGCTGGGTTTTAAGGTCCTCCTCCTGTTCAGTTTTCAAAGAAGCCCGTCCCGAACAAGTGTTCTGGCAGGTTTGTTAATATGACTTATATCAAGGACTTCCTTTTTGCCTACGTTGTAATTTAGTGCAAATCGAGTTCGAGGCAACAGGTTAAATAAGTATATTCCCAACAACTGTACTCAGTAGTGTAGCGTGTATTTTTGAAGCTAACCGAGAACTCCCTAAAATCAGTTAATGCGTGTAATAGTTGCCGTACACTGCTGAGATGGCATTATTTAACTCCTGATGGACATCAGTTTGTCGGTCATTTTTAAAGTCATTTTAAAGCAAAATCTGGTTAGCATATTTTTTTTTGTGTTACTCTTGGGTATTCATATGAATTGTTTTTTGAGTGTTAGGAAAAAGATGAAGGAAAAAAAAACTACGCAAGGGTAAATTATGTATTCCCATTGATGAATTTTAGCGATTAAATGTTAAAGGTATATGGGGGTGGTGCATAAGCTGCACAGGCTGCCAGTTCAACACAGGGCCCATACACATTGTCACACACAGTGGGTAATTCTAAGATGCCAGTTAATCTAATCACACACCTGTGGGAGGAAAGGCTAGGAGAAAATGCTAACTCCACACATGCACACACAGAGCATATGTGGAATTTCATCCCCAACACTGGAGGTGTGAGGCAGCAGAGCAACCCCTTATGCCAGGGGTGCCCAAATCCAGTCCTGGGGGGCCAGAGCCCTGCACATTTTTAGGTTTCCCCTCATTTAACACACGTGATTCAACTCCTTGTGCTGATTACCACACAGATCTTGACCTGAATCCTTAATGATGGAACAGGGAAAGAACTAAGCTACACAGGGCTCCGGCCCCCCAGGACTGGATTTGGGCAGCCCTGCCCTAAGCCACCAGGACACCCCAGTATGGCTGATTACATCAAAAATAAACCAATCGAAAGCAGAACCAAAACACAACCCATGCAGACTCCTTCCGCTCTGGAATCTATCTTCAAATTCTTTTAAAAACTGCCCATTCTGTAAAATATTTAATCCATTATACCAGTTGTTCATGAATGACATTGACTATGCTATATAAAAATATAAGGCAATTTGTAAAGCACACAATGAAATACACAATATGTTAAAGAGCAGTCTTTGGTCATGCAAGGCCAGGGGACTGCAGGTTTCGAAGGAATCTCAAACACTATTTTAAAGCAACTCTGTTCCCAGAAGCCTGTGCATATCCACATTATGAGACTTGTATTCTTCTAGAACAATTAATTATGACTATTTTTTTCTTTTAGGAAGTACATGGACATGGTCAACTAAGCGTTAAACCCATTTAATGGGTTATAGAAAAACCACCAGACATACAACATGCAAGGAACTGAATCTGATGTTTTTGAGTCCAGCAGACAGGTGAAAAACAACACAAGGTCACTTTCTATAAAAAGCCTCCTCCTAATCTAGTATATCGAGGTCAAAGGTAAATCACACTCAGCACTTAAGCTACTGATTGAAAAAACTATTTCTGAAGACTAAACAACTTGTCTTCTCTCATCGCAAGGTTGGTAATCAGTAATCTGTACCCCAGTCCACACCAAGGGCTCCACAACTTCAGATTTTTTAAAGTTGATGGTTGTCATGAAAGTCGAGTTGACGTGAACTAATCACTGATGATGTCACTAATTAAACCACTGGAAAAGGGAAAGCTTTGCAACAAGCGACAATCTGTGGTTGTGAAACTTATTGCATATGCTGACAACAGACAGTCCATTCACATACCCTTGTGGGAAAAAAGTGTACTAAAGTGCATTTCAGAGAAGTTCACTTTTTCTAAAAAAAAAAAAAAAAGTATACTATTAATATGAACATTTTAATTATACTTTAGAGTGTATTAGGTACACTATTTTGGAACAACTTATTTGAACTAATGTGTATCTAAGTTACATTTTATTTAAATGTTAATATAAATTAAATACACTAATTGCTAATTTAGTGCGTTGTTTTGGGAAACTTTAGTTGTACTAAAATACAATTATGTTCAGGAATAGTAAATGTGTAGTACTGTTTCAAAATGCTCTTTTGATGTGGTAAAAAGGTACCCATATATATACACACACATACACATACTTAACTACATATTACATTTAAAGGTCACTGGAAGACTTCTAAAAGGGCACTTGTTTATCACTTAAGTAGGACAGAAGTATGATACTGGACAGGAGTATGTTATTGATCATACAAAATGCATTTTTAAGAAAAGTGTTCCAAGCATACTTTTAAATAGTGTTTTTGTAAGACCTATGCTTAAGTATTTCAATACACTAACAGACATGGGAATGTTCATATTACTTTTGTGCTTGTTTATGAAGTCAACAGAGCAGTAAAATTATATGACTGAAAAAAAATATTTACAAAAATGCACAAATCTAGGGAAAAACGAACAAAAACTGACATGCTAATTTTTAAACGATTTTAGAACATCACAGTAAACCCCATGGTGGTTGCTAGACCCCTTTTACTGGGGCACATTACCTAGTATTTATGTGCTGTGCCCCAGTAAAATCTCACGTTCAGCTTTCAAAAATCATATGGGTAATGGGCGTGGGGGGCCTGTGTCCCAGTAGAGCTTTTTGTCTAGCAATGCCCCTGGTAAAGCTCCCAGTGATGAATTAACAGCCACCATATTAATAAGTGCAATTGGTTTAAATGAACACTGTAAAAACCCAAAAAACACTGTAGATGTTAAATTTAACACAGGGATTTTTGCCGGATATAAGAAGCATAACATCAGTAAATTAATATGAATTAATGGTCACTGAATTAATATTAATAATTTTGACTAACATATACCATCTCTGGACCCTAAAGAAGCTTCTGTCTATATTTTTGTTTATCTTAATCTCAATTTTTATTTGTCTTTTATTTCTTTTATTCCATGTCTGTGAATCATCCCTGCCTGATGTCCTTTCCAGTAACTCACTCTCTTGGTCAAACGGGTGGCTTTATCAGCACCAGGCTTCTCTTGAAAACTCTCTTATACTCCCTTATAATTGGCTTCATTGTTGCATTTTCATCTTAAGATGGTCCTGATTTCTGATGGAGATATACCAGGAAATTGTGTTACCACTGTGTCTGGAAAACAAAATATGAATTGGCATGGAAGTGATTAGCAACGGTGTTTGAAAAAGCTCTCAGTCAGAGTGAAGGTTTTATAGCAAGTGTAGGTTTTATAACCAAAACATTTTTACTGAACAACCAGCTGATGAGTTATCTTAATGAATTGATTCATTTAAAAAACTATGTCTCATAGATTACATATTAAACTGGTCTAAATTTAAAATAACTTCAGAATTGTCAAAAAATGTTGTTTTCCATCATGTACAACTATTTATTTAAAAACTACTAGTTAATAATGTCTCCAGTCTCCCCCGCGACCCCAGTTGGGATTCAGTGGTTTCAGAAAATGGATGGATGGATAGATAGTGAATAATGTTGCCATATTTTCACATCTTTTTCCTTAGCAAAAACAAAAAAGCTAAACATTCAAATTAAACCATAACTTCAAACCACTTTCTTGATTGTTTTTATAATTAATAATAATTGCATGAAATAACCTGGATGGAGAATACTTTGTATAGTATTTCACTGATAAATTATGAAGGAATAAACAAGCGTGTGATAAACACATTTATAAGATAATGGGAAGCAATTTTAATGAAGGGTGTATTGAAAAATACAGAAGTTTTCCTTTAACATGTTCATACATACTGATGAGTGCATTGACCTTTTCGGGACTTTTGATTGTCTTTTGTCCGGTGAGGCTTGACAAAAGCCATGATCTCTGAAAAAACAAAACAGTCAACTCTTGAGCAAAAATGAACATTTTTTGTTTTTGAATGACGATCAAACATTCTTTCTCGGATTGTCTCTCATCCAGCAAGGCTGGCTGGTCCAAACAGTACAGCATAACATTTTTACTGAATAGGGGTGTGGTCTGTGACTGCCTCAGTGTCACTTCAATTTGATATAGTGCCCTGGAAATGTCATGACTTCAATCACCTGTGTGTGTTCTTACCATTTCTGTTGATTATGATGCCACAGGACGGACATCACTGGAGGAGCTACTCAGTGATAGTGAGGAAGAAGGAACTAAATTAATAAATTTCTAATAAATTTCAGCAATTCTAGAAGATCATCTCATTTTAACTAAAACATCTGATGTTTTGTTGACTTTCTTGGTATTTTTTAGATTGGCGAGGGAGTTTGCAAAAAATGTCAATCCTCCATCTAAAATGATGATGTAAAGGCACGCTTAAAGAAGAGATGAGATTCCTCTTCACTACCACAAAAAGAGCATAACTGAGAAAAATCTCTTACAAACTTTTAAGAGTTTTGCAGAATTTTGATGTGGGTCTGTAACTTAGCTTGAAATCTCTAACTTGCTGTGTTCCAACCAGACATGGAGAAGAGAAAATAAGAGAATAACATTTCTCCAGTAAACAAAAGCTATTAGAGCAATACTCTTCAACGGTTCAAGTGTTTTTCTCATATGAAAATGACTGCACATACTCTCAAAAGACCAGTGCCCCCTATTTACAGGGAGGACATTACCACATCCAGTGGCATTTATACCAAAGACTGTACAAGGGGAAGCAGCTGAGGTGAAAAGCCTTAAGGATTTTAGAGAAATTACATAACATCAAGATTCTTTTCCTGAATAAGCCATTCATCAATAAATATTGAAAGAAAAATAATGTTCTTTTCAAAACACTCTTTATAAAACATGGTCTTGCCTCTGTATAAAACCTATTGATTGTTTCATTCAATACACTCATGCAATTATGATGCATCTTTCATCCCATGCAGTTACTATATTTGTTACTATATCTGTTAATTCTGTAAACTATTGAAATATTGTTAACTATTGAAGGAACTACTAAGGAACTACTGAAGCAACAATAACACAAGTGAAAATCTGATCTCAGGTTTTTTCATCATTAATAAATCATTGCACATCTTTCATCTGAAGTAGAAACTATATTTGTTCATGATTTGCACTTCAGTAGGAACAGAGTTATTACTAAGTATTTGCGCCCCATTAAGTAAAGTGTTACCGACATATGAAACTCTTGCTAATCCCTCTGCTTTACTCATAAGGAGTAATAGATAAGTCTCTGGCAAACCAAGCACTGAATCTTTTTTGGTATATTATGAATTATTGGACTGTGATTTATATCATACATTTCTTGAGCTGTTTTAGAGATCTTAATATCTAGATAAGTCACAACATATTTAACAAGAATATTTCACATTATGGGCACTTTTCCACTGGAACAATTACCATACGTTAGGTACTCTGAGGTGTTGGTTTTCCACTGGTGTATAAACCGATATTGCCGCAAAATGACATCACAATGTGAGGCGGGGAGTTTTGTACTGAATTTGAAAAATGGCTGTAGAATATTATAGAGCTGGACGAGGAGTGATATTAATATTTTTGCTATTTTAATGATTATTCCTTTTCAGGATATTCTAGTAAATGTGTAAAAATCAGTTTAAAGTTCACATCGAATGCTTCTGCATGAGCGCTGCATGCATTCTCAGACAATCATAATCATTTTCATCCTTGCTGTTTAAATTACTCATAGATAGGTTTTCTGAGAAACATTTTTGCTTTTTAATACTCATTTATTCAAAATTACACAGCGATATTTGAAAATATTTCAATAGTGTGTTGCCCTAGTATATTACACAACATACTTTGGAAACTTTCAGTTTGTTATCAAGAAAGATGGTTGTGTCATCTGCTGTGATATTTGTATTTCTTTATTTCAAGGGATTTTGTTCAACTAATAGGCTAAGAATTTTACTTCTCTTTTCCGCAAACTTCCGCAGTGTCATAATCACATGACCAGCGACTAGTCGACATCAAGTATAAAGCATCATGGTAGAGCAGTAAAGTTAACTAGTCTATGCAACCTCTAGTGTACATTAGCCTGCCTTGACAGAGTGATAGGAACATGGCAACAGCATGTGGTTAAGAGGTACACTCTCAATCTGGCCATCAAAGGTTTAATAATTCACATGCTGCATATTTACATACAAGTTACTTTAAATACACACTAGGTCACACTGTATTGCTATTAAAGTTACATTTAAAAAACTATTACAAAAATAACTCATGTTGAATTTTGTCTTTACCTGTTACCTTTTTTTGAATGCAAATAATTCCAAATCAATGTCTGGTAAATGTAACTGCCAGTTTGTTGCAAATGTTGAAATCTTCTGATGGCGAACAACCTCTGTTTATATGGGCTCTGTTTTACCATCGGCAGTGTTCCATGGCCTTTTTTGTCACACAATGAGTGGCCTCGACTTTTACACTGTGACACTTTACTACGTTCCTGTATAGCATTCACGCCAGAACTGACCTCCTGTATATCTGTTGTTCTGCCATGACAGTCTCTGTCCGTGTCCATTCCGGCCAATTTACTCACAGCAGGATCATAATTAGACACTAATTTCTCTTTTGTTTTATGGCTTTTGCCAGCCTTAGTATCTCTGGATGTTTCACTCTGTAATCCAGGGGACAGTCGCAAACCAGTAACAGGTGTTACTTTAGATGAGGAGATTTGCCTTGTTGTTTTTTTACTGCCACTGTTATCAGAATCTCCTTTTTTATGCTTTTTCTTACTGGGCTGATGTTCACTGTTATGGTGCTCAGGATCAGCCATACTCCTTTCCCCCTGAGACTCGAATTCCATGGACCGATCTTCAGCGATGTTCCATCTCACTCCATTATTTCCCCCAAGAAAATGGCCAGAGTAGCTTGCTATGAAACTTCCTCCAAGCTCATCACTCTCTTCTGCACTCCCAGGCTTCCACCTTTTCTCCTTCTTCTTCTTCTTCACCACATCATCAGAGGAGGACAAAGGGGACATCTCAACTGGTTCTGTGTACCTTTCCCTATCAGAGCACTTATGCGTTGGTGAATTCAGAGCTGATAAACACTCTCGGGACCCAGATATACTGAACTGCTCCTCCTTCTCACCTCTCTTTCTCTTCTTCCTCCTCCTCTTTTCTAAGTCATGACAGGCCACATCAAAGTCAGTGTTGTCTTTTGGCTCTAGAGGATAAGACCCTATATCAGATATTTGGTCTACACTTGTTTCAGAAATGACCTGTTTGCGCTTAGTCTGGTTGTAGCTAGAACTACTAGAGTGAGACTGCTCCTCCTTCTCACCTCTCTTTCTCTTCTTCCTCCTCCTCTTTTCTAAGTCATGACAGGCCACATCAAAGTCAGTGTTGTCTTTTGGCTCTGGAGGATAAGACCCTATATCAGATATTTGGTCTACACTTGTTTCAGAAATGACCTGTTTGCGCTTAGTCTGGTTGTAGCTAGAACTACTAGAGTGAGACTGCTCCTCCTTCTCACCTCTCTTTCTCTTCTTCCTCCTCCTCTTTTCTAAGTCATGACAGGCCACATCAAAGTCAGTGTTGTCTTTTGGCTCTGGAGGATAAGACCCTATATCAGATATTTGGTCTACACTTGTTTCAGAAATTACCTGTTTGCGCTTAGTCTGGTTGTAGCTAGAACTACTAGAGTGAGATTGTGACTTAGCCACAGGTGCACAATCTCTTCCCTCTTCATTTAAATCATTCTGCAGGTCTACGACCTTCATGTGCTTCTTACTTTTCTTCTTGTGCGGAGACACGTTTTCTGTGGTGTACGTATACTCCACATTCAAGTCTTTTATAGATGTCTCTAGCCTTCGTCTCTCTGATTTGGATGACTTCCACATGAAGAACTCTTCTTCCCCTTTTCCACAAGCTGTCTCTACAGATGGCTTCCTATGTTGGCTGTCTGTTGTACTTTGAGCATAGACATCTTGAGTTCTCTCTTCCTCTACAGATCCTTCCTCACCATGCAACAATCTTTGCCCATAATTACTATCAAACAGTTCTTCAGACTCTTCATTCTCAAGGTTCAGAATGACTTCCTGGGATATCTGTTGCTTTTTTCTGATTGCTTTGTTCAGTTCATACTTACATCCTGATGAACCTTCAAATATTTTTTGAGACATCTTGTCAGTTGGCTTCTCCAGAGTATTTTGACTTGGCACATGTTCAGCATAGTCTTGCTCATCCTGCACATTTACTGCTGTAGTAGATATCTCATGGACATCGTCATGTGAAATTAAAGGGGCTTCATCTTCAGCTACAACGTCCTTCCTTATGCCTTCTTTAGTGAGTGACAAAGACATCCTGTGCTCAGGAAGATGTGCTTGCTCCACAGACTCTTTCTCTGTTTGCTCCAACACTTTTTCCTTACTTGCATCCAAAGTTTGTTCTTGCAAGCTCTCTTTTCCTCTTTCTGTTCTCTTGATTGAGATCTCCCCTAGTTCCCAGAGTTCCTGCGATCCCAAATGTGGAATAGCATCTTCTGTCACTCCCTCCAGGCTTCCCTGCTCACAAATCTTAGTTGGACTGCCTGTATTTGAAATCCCAGCTTCACAATTTTCAATTGGCAAAAAGAAACACTGACTTCCAGTCCTGTCTGTCATCTGCTTCTCTAGCTGTATCACATCAGGGCTCTGTTGAAGCTCACTGTGTGGCATCTCCTCACTGTGTGGCATCTCCTCACTGTGTGGCATCTCCTCACTGCTTCCTGCTGTTTCTGCATCCAAAGGAGTTGATCTGGTTGATCTGCGAATAACTGCTGCTGAAGATGTTCTCTTTTTCACAGTGTGGGTACTCCTCTGTGTTCTAGTTGGCTTCCTACGCTTAACAGCCCCTTGAGAGTCCAAAACATCGGTCACAGTGCATTCCTCGTCCTCCTCTTGTGGTGAGGTGTCAGAAGACAGAGAAGACGTATCAGTGGTGTCACTCTCATATTCCTGTTCTGTGGAAATACCACAATTGTCTGAACCATCATCCTCAACGTCTGTATTGCGTGTACTTAAAGACCTTCTGGCCCGAGATCTGGTCTGAACTTTTGGTGCATGGATACTTTTTTTTAGGTTTGAGGAGGCTTTTCTTCTGTCTTTCATTGAATCCTGTCCAGCATCACTAGAAAACTTCCCAGTCCATATGTTGTTTCCCCTCAATCTACCATGATATTTTAAAATAAAATCTTTCTGTGCCTGAAAAAAAATGAAGGCATTCCTTAATTAACAGGGCACATAACAGACCATGATCTCTCATTTTAAATCACCACTCACCACTATTTTAATGTCATCACTGGCTTGGCTGCCCTCAGCTTGTCTGAAACGGAATTAAGACAGATTTTATTGTGTACCAAGGTATTACATGTCTGTTCAATAATGCAGCATCAAATGTTTTTTTGTGTGTAAAAGCCCCTCCAATACTGTGTTGTTACATATATATTTCTAATTCTTATCATTGAGTCAGATGATTCCTCCAACATAAGAGACCTGACTCACTCTGGATTTGAGAGTGGAAGCAGCTCTCCATCCTCATCTAGGAACCTTCGTCTGAGTGACAAAAATCTCGAAGGCAAGCCCTTTTCTGACTTGTCTTTTACTTTCTTCATGTAGGTAAAAAAACCACCAATGGCTCCATGCTGTAGAATATTTTGCAAAATATATGAAATGAAATACAAATTAGTTCACATTTGCACAATTTTCTTCTAAGATAAAACTGTGATTTATGAAATCTTGAGCTATAACTGAAATCCAGACAAGACACCAGGGCAGCGCTGTACAACATACCTCAAACAATAGGACCTTACGTCGGGGCAGGTGTTCACTTTTATTATTCTTCTTTGCAAGAAATGGAAACACAGGCCCATTCCGGTCATACTTCTTTTGTGTCTCCTGGTTGGGCTTGTATCTTTGAAATTTTAAGAGGCTTTTCCTTGACCTCTTTGGACAGTTGTCCCCTTCACTATCTGTGTCAGACTCAGAAGCAGTGCTTGGGAGCTGCAGTCGCTGAGGCCGCTTTCTTCTCTCAGTCCGTAATGGTCTTGTCACAGGCTGAGTTTGAAACAGGCTGTCTCCAGAATCACTGAAATTCAGATTAAAAAGGTCCATTATTTTTTTACCTCTCAATTAATAGTCAGTTAAAATATCCAACCACAACAGTAGTAAATATAACATTATGTATAATGTGTTAAGTCACAGCAGTGCAGCTTTGTACTACAAATACATGCTTACACCTGATTATATTAACTGAAGCAATTCAAATCTGTGATTATAAAGGAACGGGATTCACCTTCGCTTCGAACTTTAAATGACCCTGCATGCACGTTTTACGGGCGGCTCCCTTACCTATTTGGCAGAACTGCCGCCCGCGGAGCGAGTAGAGCATCGGCGCTCCTTCCTGAAAGGCCCGGAAGCTGAAGCCGGAGCCGGGTTTCAGGTGAATCAGCTTCGTAAGTTAATTCTGTGTCGCTGCCCATCCCAGTCTGGGTCGATGCAGGAAACAAAAGCACCTAATATGTTACCGACGACGTACTGATTGTTTCACTTTCCACATATCGTCTTGGATCCATCTTACATTAAAAATCTAGTTACACCTCTAGCAGAATACAACAGAACAGTATGGAATGCGTCTACTGTGATTTCACATTATAGGTACATCTGAAATGCAATATGGACTGTTTAGCTATGCAGCTTTTATTTAAGGATTTATTAACTACACGAATTAGAATCTTAAACTACAAACTTCTCGATTATAAAATTATTTAGTATTTCAGCTAACGTGCCATTACTATCTAAAGTGACAAACTGACGTACAACATTATTTGCAGACAGATACTTAATTAGCGTCTCCGTTAGATAGGGCTCTGGACCTACCTACACTTACCAGATAGCAAAAGTATAACACGAGGAACCACTTGAATCTTGAACCAATATAATCTCGCACCAACAAGTTCTCGCGATATTTGTGTAAACAATTTGAATTCGGATGTTTCACTGCCTCCTATACTATGACTATTTTAAGTAATCTTAGGTCTAATTAAGTAAGAAAACGATTAATCGAATAATAAGGGGCACCGTTTCCAAAACGGTGAGAACATACTCCTTCTTTTAGGCTGTTTACACAAACAACAGCCACGGGGTCTCCAAAATACCGCCTCCTCACATAAAAGCCATTGGTGACGCAGATTCACCACGTGTTGTGTGACGCATGGCGTTACGTCACTTCTGTCCTGCGCTCGACGAGCGGGTAGCCTGTGCTGACACTTGTCTCTGTGGTACGGGGAGGTCCGTCTTGCGAAATGGCAACCTGCACTAAAACCGAAAAAATCCAGTTGCATGTCCCGAAGTTGGAAGAGCTGTGTGAAGGTACAGATGGGTCTGAAAACACCCGGATTCTTATAGACTTATTTCTGTGCAAGTGTGGCTTAGTTTGAATACTTTGGAATGTAGGTGTAGAAGATAGGGACAATAATATAATTACTATAATTGGTATAATCAGGGATCGTCAACCTGTCCGTACAGGAACAAACGTGTCCGTGGTAAATATCTTTTAAAATATAACGTCCGTGGAAAAAATATGTTCAAGATGTCCTTTAGAATTGGCCATGGTGTTGACCCATGATTACATGATAATATGGGAAGTGTACTGAAAATCTGTAAAATGCAATTTGTGCAACGCTGGGGAGCGGGCAGAATTATCAGCAGAGATCAGTGTGTCTTTGGAAGTATTATTATTATAAAACACGAAGCACGTTTTTATAGATTCCGGAGTTCTTTACACACCGTATATTCACAGTACAAGCTGGTTCAACAAAAATGACACCGAAAATGTTGGGCTATTATGTTGTTGTTTTTTTAATCACGTTTGAAGCACGATTATCAGTACAGCTACACGAGTCGCCCAGTTCGGTCACTGACCGTGTTAAAATTTAATTCTCGTTTAGTGCTACAGAATGGACTAAAAAGCAACTTTGCTGACGCCCAAATTACTGTGGTGGAATGCCCAGACCTCTCCCAGGACCCATTTAATTTTCCTGCTAAGGGTAAATGTATTTGATTATTCTTATTACTTTTACTATTATTTTAAATGTTTGAAAAGGTTATTTGCTTATGGAAATGTGTGTATTGCATTTGAACAGGACTGTGCGGTAGCCCGCGGATAACGGATGTTGGAGGTGTCCCTTACTTGATTCCTCTAGTACAACTGGACAAGGTTAGAGATCAGATAAGCAAAATCAAATTATCTCCAATGTATGAAATTCTGTGCATTTTCCTTGGTTAATCAATATCAAGAATGCATGGGTTTAGATTACCCGTGTTTATCATTTACAAAGCGTGAGAAAAAAGTAACTCGCTGTTTAAAATTAAATGCGATTTCAGTTTAGTAAGGGGAGGAGCTGGTCTCGGTACTTTGAAATAAGATACAGTGGTACCTCAGAACTCGAACTTAATCGAATCCTAAAGTTCGAGTTCTGATCGAATTTCCCCCATAAGAAATAATGTAAAACCAATTAATTGGTTCCCGGCCCCAAAAAAATTACACCTAAATACGTTTTTTTTTTGCATTTAAACACAAAATGAACAGGATAAAACAAGAAGAGCTTATACTAAACACATCTAAGCACATTTATGGCTACCAATAAAAGATTAACCTGAAAAAAAAAATAGCAGTGCGTGACATTTTTTTCTGAATGGCTTCCAAAACGATAACACTAGACTATGCCATGCGGTCCATTGTTTATTTTTATTATTACTCTGTATTAGTTAATTTGTTCGTAAATCGCAAACTTTTAGGTTGTAACATTTGTACAACTATTGTGTAACTTTTTGGTGAGCAATGGCTACCAAAATTATATAAAGTACAGTGGATTACCTGATGTTTCCAATAAAAGAATCACCAACAAACAATGCTATCACAACGAATGCAAGGCTGAGACTGAAGCTTTACCCTTTGTTTCTGCTGAGAGACGTGCCGTGTGACTCATTTCCCCACGCGTACAAGCTATCTTAGGTCGGTGTTCATGGTTCGAATTCTGAGATTCAGATGGAGTTCTAGATATATTTTTTTTTAACTGGTTGGTTCGACTTTTAAGAAATTTGAGTTCTAATGAGTTTGAGTACTGAGTTACCACTGTATTTGTAAGTCTATGTGGGGTTGGTTCTCTTGTTTTTGTTAACGATGATAATTGCTGTTTTTATGTGATTTAATAAGTCAGTTAATTGTCACAGGAAGCTACATTCAGCAGCCCCATTTGCTTTTGACAGTAAAAGCACGAATGAGTGAAATGGCACAACACCGATGTTTGGGTTTACAGGTGTACGACATGAACGCAGTCGCTAAGGCACTCGAGCTGCCAGGGGCGTTCATACTGGGCGCGGGTGCGGTTTCTTCAAAGAGCGTGGGCATGAACGCTGAAGTAAGTTATCCTGCTGCTAGTAAACGTGCAATAACCTGTATCTATAGCCCTTTCGTGTTTCGTGTGAGGCTCAGTGGGTTAGGCCTCTGTGCCTGTGATTGGAAGGTCAATGGTGTGACATCTGTGATCAGCAGATTAGTTCTTTCATCATCATAATGAAAAGGGTACATATGCGCAACTCTCACTCTGTAACACTTATTGTGTTTTAACTTTAATTTAACTGTATCACAGCTGATGCCCCTGGTCGTCACCGCAAGTGAGGGGAAGTTGGCAGTGAATGGCAGCTATTTAGCGTCTATTAACCCGGCAGACGGTAAATGCCTGCAGGAGAAGTACAGCGATAAGTACAGAGACTGTGATTTTGGACTTCTGGGCAACCTCTATGCATGTGAGGGCAAGCCGGGAAAGGTGAGGGGCAACGGGGTCACGTCGGGGCAGCAGGTGGGGGTCGATAGCGATGTTGAAGGGAGTGGGCCGCTTGTTTTGTGTTACATTGTAGGAATTTAAATGGAGTTCACTTAATGCGTCACAGGTTTTGGAGGTGAAGGCTAGCAGGAGAACAGGAGAGTACAGTCTCGTCACATGTTTGAGGAAGACTTTGGAGAACCACTACAGTGATAAAAGCCTGGCATTGGGAGGAACGTTCATCATCCAGAAAGGCAAAGCCAAGATCCATATTATGGTAAATTAACATCTTTGTGGCCCAGTCACTTGTCTGTGGCTTCATGAAAGAATATCATAAGGGTTTTGTTTTCTGCATGATTATTATGTTTGTATTTGTTTTTGTTTTTTTTTTATTCTTTCCCATCCTCCTGATTCCCTTGTCCGAAGCCACGGGAATTCTCCTCTTGTCCCCTCAATAGTAATGAAGATGTCAACAACTGGCTTAAACACTTCATTGTGAGCGCCCCACTCGTCTGCCAGTCTGTGTTGGTGTCCAGAGACCCTGTGAGTACCAGGGCACTGTCTCCTTCCTGCTCGTCCATCCACATGTAGATATTCATACCCAGATTGGCAAGAAATGCTGGAATTGTGGGGATTCCAATATACCCAGAAATGCTGAGTAATAGAAAGTCAAACTTCTTCAGTAAATGTTTTGGAAATGAATGATTGAGAGTGATGTACATTTCAGATCCCTGTGTTTTTCCTCCTGTTTCTTCAGGACTTGGATTTGCGCGTGGAGCACACTCACTGCTTCAGTCACCATGGAGAAGGTGGGCACTACTATATAGACACCACGCCTGATATCGTGGAGTACGTGGGTTACTTCCTCCCAGCTGAGTTCGTCTATCGCATCGATCGGCCGGAGATGACTCACAAAACTGGACGGGACTGAAAATAAACAGAAAGAACTTTATGGAAAGTCACATTCCCTCTTTTATAGATGAGCGTAATTTTAAAATGATTCAGAGTTACTGGAGCTCCCTCTAATGGTCAGTGTGAAATATTTTCACTGCTTTGCCATTGATCATTTCTGAATATTGATGAGAAATCCTTCTTAATGTTTCTAAATCAGCTTATACCTTTGTGAGCTTTCAAGGCAAAGAATATCCTTTTTCCGTGGGTCCTTGACTATTTATAGTATAATGGGTTAGCCCTATTCCCATCTCCAGTGCATCACACCTACATTCTTTTCTTTTCCTTCTGCTTTGCAGTTGTTTCGCAGTGTTAAGTGTTCCTTCTTTTGTAGTTTCTTGTTTGGAAAATGCAAGATACCCTGGTTTCTGCTGATGCGAAGCATGGTGTACCATTATTGTCAAATTTATTTCTTAGTAGATGTTCAAGAAGGTTTTGACCATATTGCCAGATCCAGCTTGCATTCTTTTCATATCATGGACTCTTGTTCCTTGAATTTTCACATTTGAACTTCAAGCTCTTGTAAACTATTCCCTAGAAAATCAAAACTATGTTACATTATTTACATATACAAAAATTGATGAACAAAGATCGATCACTCAGTCTTCCTCTTTACCTCAGCAGCCATTGGTGGAGGTTTGTGTTCTGCTGGGATGATTTGTCATGTGATATGTCAGGAAGAAGTGGTTTGATGGTGCAAAGTCATGACTGAAACCTTTTCCTGTTTCATTTCCTTTTCAACATTTCGAATAGGCCTTTTTCCAAATCCAATTTCAATGATTTTTGTCCCAGATACATTTGGATATTAATTTGTATTTTTTTGCCTCAGTATCTAAGGAAAATTTTTCATTCTTCCGTTTGGGGAAAAAATAAATTTACAAGAGTACAAGCACAAATGGATTATATATGTGGAAGTCGTTATGTTTTCCTTCAAACCCCATTTTCATTTTTCTCCCCTGCTCACATTGTAAATGTCACGTGTGAATATCCTCAGAAGCACATAAAATTTTCTGAGGAGACCTCTTCGTCCGGTTGGCAAAATTTACCCTAAGCCCCCCCCCCCCCCCCCCCCCCCCCCCCCCCCCCCA